GCCTATAATCAATGCACATTCTCATTGTTCCATCCTTCCTCTTCACAAACAGAATCGGCGCACCCCAAGGTGACACACTAGGCCGAATAAACCCTTTATCAAGGAGTTCCTGAAGTTGTTCTTTTAATTCCTTCAACTCCGCTGGTGCCATATGATACAACGGAATAGAAATGGGCTGAGTGCCCGGCACCAGGTCAATACCAAAATCAATATCCCTATCTGGTGGCATGCTCGGCAGGTCTGTAGGAAACACATCGGGAAAATCTCTCACAACTGGAACAGAATCAATAATGGGAGCCTCAGCTCCGACATCCCTCACAAATGCTAGATATGAAAGGCAACCCTTCCCAACCACATACTGGGCCTTCAAGAAAGAGATCACTCTACTAGGAACATAATCAGTCACACCTCGCCACTCGATCTGTGGCACCCCCGGCATAGCCAATATGACTGTCTTAGCAAGATAGTCCAGAATAGAACGACACGGAGATAACCAATCCATTCCCAAAATGACATCGAAATCCACCATACTCACTAATAATAGATCCACTCGGGTCTTCAAACCCCTGATAGTCACCATTCACGATCGGTATACACGGTCTACAATAACAGTATTTCCCACCGGGGTAGATACATGAACAGGTGAAGCAAGAAACTCACGGAGCGAAAGTATAATGACACATAAGAAAAGGTGGAACCAGGATCAAATAATATAGAGGCATCTCTGTGGCACACTGAAACAATACCTGTAATGATAGCATCTGAAGCAATAACATCGGGTCTGGCTAGAAGTGCATAGAAACGGTCCTAGCTGCCACCTGATCGACCTCCCGTACGCCTCAAACTGGAACAAACATAGCACATAGCCATGCAATCCACTAATACATAGCAGACTCCTCCACTTGGCTCGAAGCCATAGATCAAAACATACTTTATAACTCATAATGCATATACTCTATTGCTGCCACAGTTTTATATTGAGATTAAACTCGATCCTTCATAAGTTCGTGAAACACAGACCATCTGGTACTTTAACTCTTATACAAATTTCGCATTCACTCTCGTAACAGTTAAACCCACTATCTTAAGCGACCCAAACTTAAATTGCAACACATATATTTCACTTATAAATGAGATCTTCTAACGGACAACATAAGGATCACACAACCTCAGAACACTTCTCAGGAGATAACACACTTGCTTTGCCTCAACCTAGCATTTTTGTATACCTTCCACCGTCATAAACATTACGCAGTCACCTAAACTTCCTGAGTCTGAACTAAGACCGCAACATGAAATTTACTCCACTCCCAACTAGGAAACATGTAAATATTCTTCACACACCCATAACTCGGGGCTATACCTCAAATCAAGATAAAAATTGAGCACATAATAGTCCTTCTATCCTCCAGCAGACCCTTCTCGCGCTTCCAAATCACATGAATATATCTCAGAGTCACATCACACTCATCATGTATTTATCCAGTCATCACCTCTCTTAATAGGGACACAATAGAATATATGGATTCAGAAACACGCGCTCACGAAATCAATAGCTCAGGGCTCAAGCTATAGGCAAAAATTTGGCCTCGAGTCCTCTAGACTGGCCCAACATCAATGCATAGAGATCATATCTCGCTGCTCGATCAGGGAATCACAATCCATCGATGCATATCCGATACCGAGCACTCATGCGCGTATACGAACGCGTGGAAGGAATTCTAATAGTTACTTTTAAAGCTGAATCAAGGACACACGATAAGAATTCAAGAATGTGAAATTATTCCTAAAGGTTCTGCAGCCTCTCGAGGATAAATAAAGACGTCTCTGTACCGTTCCACGTGACTCTACTAAACCTGCTCATGACTCGTGAGACCTATGTAACCAAGGCTCTGATACCAGCTTGTCACGACCCTATCCCCGAACCCGATCGTGATGGCGCCTCTCGTGAAGACAAGGGCAGCCAACTAAACCCAATTCACTTGTTAAAGCAGTTAAATAACATAAAAGCAGTCTAAAACATGATATAGCAATACTAGGTAGAGGATAATGTCAATAAAGTGCAGAAGTACAACCCAACACAGCCCTAACCGGGGTGTCACAAGTCACGAGCATCTATGAGCCATAATATAAGTCTGTTAAGGTCATAAACTACTACAAATGTTTGAAAAGAAACAAAAATGCTAGAGGAGTAGAGACATAGGGCAGCGGACATCAACAACTACCTCGTAATCTTCGAAAAGCCCGCCTGGAACTGGAGGAAATCAGCACTCTGGAGCAGAACCAGCAACGCCTAAATCTGCACATAGGGGTGCATGGAGTAAAGCGAGCACTCTAACTCAGTGAGTAACAAAGGTAACTAATGACTGAAAGTAAGAAAACACGTAAGGCACAAGGCATTCTATAATGAAGCAGTAAAAATCATTTAGAAACAGTAAGCCATGAAAAGTCGAGTAAAATCCTCTTCCAACAAGTAAACAAGTAATTGACAGGCAATTAAGATAAAGTAAACAAATAGAAGTTCGCCCCTCGGGCATAGTATCAGCAAAATCCACCCCTCGGGCAACATCTTAGAACCGTACCAGCCCCTCGGGCTCAATCTCAGAACAATACCAGCCCCTCGGGCTTAATCTCACGTCACAATGGGTACCCGCATTCACTGGGGGGTGTACAGACTCCTGGAGGGGCCCCTTAGGTCCCAAGCGAAATAACAAGCCATCTCGTGGCATCAATTCTAGGCCCTCGGCCTCATATCAATCAAGCCACCTCATGGCGTATATATATCTCAGGCCCTCAGCCTCAAATCAGTATAAATATTTCCTCATAATATAGGCCCTTGGCCTTATTCAGTCAAAAATCATCACAAGCCTCTCGGGCAATAGTAAAACGGTGTTTCTCAGCCCAAACATCATTTAAAATATCATTTAAGTCTTAAAACTGAGTAAACATGGCTGAGTATGAAAACAGTGGGAAATAACATGACTGAGCTCAAGTAACAAGTCAAAACAATAGGGAAAATTAATAAATAGCCCCGGAAGGTTCAAATAGTTGGCTCTAGGCCCAAATGTGGCATTCAACCCAAATAATGATGATAACAAATAGTTTTCAATCAAATACGCGGTAAAATCATCAATCAGGACGGACCAAGTCACAATCCCCAATAGTGCACGACCCCACGCTCGTCATCAAACGTGTGTCTCACCTCAACATAGCACTACGATGTGCAAATCTGGGGTTTCAAACCCTCAGGACATTATTTACAATCATTACTTTGCTCGAACCGGATAAACTCGCGATGCCCTTGCCCCTCGAATCAGCCTCCATCCGAACGAGGACGTCAAAATATGCTAAGGGAACAAAGCCCAAGCGAAAACAATCATTAAAGGGCACAAATCCCAAAATTACCAAAACCCAAGCCCCGGGCCCACTTCTTAAAATTCAGAAATTTTCACATCATTAGATTTCTTATCTCCCCACGAGTTCATACATATCAAAAGTTCTCGAATCAGACCTCAAATGATCCTCCAAATCCCCAATCAAAAGTCCAATTTCTCAAGCCCTAGTTCTTCAATTTTAGGCTTAGCTTTCATGATTTTCTAGGTAGAATTCACATAATAATCGAGTTTTTAGTCCAAGAATCTTACCTCCCAACGTTTTCCCTTGAATTCTTCTTCAGTTTCCTTCAAAAATTTCCAAAAACGAGCAGCTATGGGTGAAATAAGCCCCAAAATCGCGAACAAGATGACTTTAAAACATTCTGCCCAGGCCTATATTTCCTTCTTCGCGAACGCGGTCAAATCCACGCGTTCGCGAAGCACAAACTCGCGTTGACCAACTTTTCTTCTATGCGAATGCGTAATGTCCATCGTGAACGTGATGCTTCGTCCATCTTAACCTTCACGAACGCGCTCACTCATTCGCAAACGTGATGAACACTGGACCTCGAACCCATCTGACCCAATATCCTCTACGCAATCGCAAGGACCTTCTCGCGAACGCGATGCACCACCTGCCAGCCTTCCGCGAACGCAAAGCCCTTCTCGCGAACGGGAAGGCTTAATTCTTGCCTTCCTCAACTGCCTCTTCGCGAACGCGAGGCTCCACTCGTGAACGCGGCGGGCAAAATCGCTGCAACAGCTGAACAACATTTTCTGCAATCTTTTCCAACTTCAAATGATCCGATTGACCACACGAAACTCACCTGAGGCCCTCGGGACCTCAACCAAAGGTACCAACACATCCTAAAACCCCATTCAAACTTGGTCCAATCATCAAAATACCTCAAACAACATCAAATCACCCAAAACACATCAGATTCAAGCCTATGTTTCTAAAATCTTCCGAAATACGCTTTTGTTCAAAAACCCAACCACACCACATCCGAATGACCTAAAATTTTACACACACCCCCAAATGACACAACGAAGCTACTGCAACTCTCAAAATTTCATTCTGACCCCTATATCAAAATCTCGCCTATCAACCAGAAATCGCCAAAATATCAACTTCGCCAATTCAAGCCTAATTCTACTCCGGACCTCCAAAACCCATTCCGATCACACTCCTAAGTCATAAATCACCTCCCGAAGCTAACCGAACCATCGGAACTCACATACGAGCCCTCTAATACATAAGTCAACATCCGGTTGACTTTTCCAACTTAAACCTTGTTAAAAGAGACTAAGTGTCTCAAACCTTATCAAAACCACTCCGGACTCGATCCGACCAACCTGATACCACAAAACACGGATAGCGAAGCACAAAGAGCATAAATAGAGAAAACAGAGTGGCAACTCATTAGACGACTGGCCTGTTCGTCACAGTACCTTAAATTAGGATTAGTGCCAACTTATGTTATATCTTCTCCTGAATCAGCTGAAAAAATCCTTAAAACATATGATCATGTCTTTGCTAGTAGGCCTCATAATGAGACAGCTCAAGACATCTCTTATGGCCAATGGAATTTAATTTTTTCTAAGTATGGAGCTTACTAGCGTAACATGAGAAAATTATGCACAGTTCACTTGTTGAGTAACCACAAGATTAACTCGTATCGATCAACGAGAAGTGAAAAAGTTGCCCTTATGATCAAATCAATTAAACCATCAGCTCAAGATGGTGGTGTTGTTGATCTTAGTGCTAAGGTTTCACCATTGAGTACCAACTTGAGTTGCTTAATGGTTTTTGGAAAAAAAATTCATGGATGAGGATTTGGACAAAAGGGGTTTTAAATCTTTAGTTCAAGAAGTTACACATTTAGTTGCAACACCAAATCTTGGTGATTTTTCCCCCTTTTTGGTGTTATTGACATCCAAGGCCTTACGCATCGTATGGAGAATATTTCTAAGTTATTTGATGAATTTGTTGAGAAGATTATTAATGAATATGTCCAGGCATCAGACAAGAAGAAAACTAAGGATTTTGTTGATACTATGATGTCCATTATGCAATCTGGAGAAGCAAAGTTCCAGTTTGATCGTCGCCATGTCAAAGCTGTCCTGCTGGTACGTTTATTCCCAATTTGAAATTTAAATAGTACTATAGCACTATTTTTAGTAAACTTAACTCGTGTAACGGTCAACAATCAATCAACATAACCTCAATTGCCACATTAATTATATTGGAGTCGGATGTATGAATCCTTTATATCTCTAGATTTTTCGTAATAATTAAATTATTTTCAACGCAAACAGTTAACTTACCTCAACTCTACTCCTTTATCCGGACTTGGAAGAAATATTGGCAAAACATGTTTAATGGAAATAATTTTTTTTTTATTCAGGACATGCTTGTAGCATCAATAGATACATCATCAACTTCAGTGGAGTGGATGCTCTCCGAACATCTCAAGAATCCTAATGTAATGGAAAAAGTCCAAAAAGAGTTAGAAGAAGTAGTTGGCCTAAACAGAATGATGGAAGAATCAGACTTAGACAATTTGAAATACTTAAACATGGTCTTCAAGGAGTCATTTAGGTTACATGCTGCAGCCCCATTACTACTTCATGAAGCAATGGAAGATTGTATAGTAGATGATTTCTACATACAAAAAGGATCACAAGCTATCGTCAATTCATATTCAATTCATATGGATCCTAATGTTTGGACTGAGGCTAACAAATTTTTGCCGGAAAGGTTTCTTGAAAGTAACGTAGACGTTCGTGGACGTGACTTTCAACTTTTACCATTTGGTTATGGAAGAAGAAATTGTCCGAGGATGCATTTGGCGTTGATTATTGTATGTTTGGTCGTCGCGCAATTAGTTCACTGCTTTGATTTGGACATGACTGAGAAATTTGGTATTGTGACTGGTAGAGCCAAGCATTTGATGGCTATTCCTACTTATAGGCTACACAACTGATTTTGGGAAATAAATTTTGGTACATCTATCGTTGTATGACGTTTGATCTTGTTACAAAGCACCTTGAGTGTTTTGATTAACATTTATGTCTTTACTTGTAATAGTACGGGAAAAACTAGAATAAATATGTTATCATTTTCGTTACTTCTAATAAATATATTCTAGAGGTGAAATCTTCTAGCTTTTCCTATTTGATCCGAAATCGATCAATCTAGCCATTAAATATTTGTGTGTATTAAATTTTCATTATTTTACAAATTATTTGATGGCCTCATGTTTATCTGCCAAGACAGAATCTTGACTCCTATTAAGGTTGAAAATGAGGAATCATCACTGAGATTTTTTAAGCAATATTCTCTATCTGTTCCACTTGAATTCATTTGGCATTAAAATATTCTTGTGACGGTTGTGATTCTAAATAATTAACTAATGATGTTATCCTAGCACAAGGACTGATGTTTGAATTGTTCTACGACAAAAAGTAGTCGCCCAATTCTTCACTCAACTGTCAGATCCTTCACCAGCAAACGATGTATATATAAAATTGTGATATAAGTAATACTTGAAATGATGACACGCTGCCTCTCATAGTCATTTACAGAACCTAATTCCCTTCTCTCTCAAAAAGAATTTAACAAAAATAATACTAGACGATAGGAAAAGGGACATGTAATATCTAAACTAGGAAATATCATTAATTAATTAGTTCCTTATGAAGTTGTAAAAATATGTTTCTCTTGACGGTAATAACTCAATAGAGGGAAATACGAAAGTAATCAATCAACAAATTATGCCTAAATCCTGACATTGTCAAGGGGACCAGATAAATCCACTACATATTCTGCTTTACTAATAATCTGTTTGGCCAAACTTCTAAAATTTATTTATTTTGAGAAGTGTTTTTCAACAAAATATTTTGGTGAAAATCAGTTTGTGTTTGGCTAATCAATTTGAAAAACACTTTTGAGCAGCAATTAGTGTTTGACCAAGCTTTAAAAAAAATGATTCTAAGTGTATTTTTCTTAAAAGTGCTGCTGAGAAGAAGCAATTTTTTTCTGCTTCTCTTGTTCTTCTACTAAAAACACTTTTTTTTTCCTTCAAAAAGTTTGGCCAGACACCATAACTTTAAGGAAAAAAATGCTTTTGACAAAAAAATACTTTTGGCCAAGAAAAAACTTGGCCAAACGCTTTAAGACCTATTTCGTTCTAATAATAAACAATCCTCTATTTAGACGAATGTGATATTTTAAAGTAAAAGGTTTTCAAAATCTAACACTTATCCAACAGCAACGGGTTTGACCAAGTAAAAAGAACTCTTAATAAACACCTTTCATGTATGTAAGAATGATAATAAGTCCTAGTTGGTACTTGGTAATGCCTAGTGGTAGCAAAATGGATAAAAATAAATAGTTACACATTTATATTATATATTAAGAATATGTTGGATAATGAACTTTTTAAAAGAACATTTAACCATTTATATATTAAAAAAACATATTTATCCCTTCTAAAGGTCTTATCATTTAATTATATTAGCTTGTCATTTATATACAAAATAATATATATAGAATTCAATTTTACCTATTTTTTCTCCTTTCTCTTCCTTCTCCATTCCACTAATTTTCTTGTTCTGATCTAACAATTGGTCAATCCTACTAAATATTTCGCGGACATTCTTATTGAGCATGAGTTATTTATTTCTCTAGTTCCTTTCTGCTTTATTTTAAAATCTCACTCATTGCTACTTCATAATTGCCAGGCCATAACAGCCCCTAAATGTTTCTCAGGGAATCCCCATTACACGTTTTAAAGGAGATACAACTATATAGGCTAAACTCTGTTCACAGTAAATACTCGAATAATAGAGTGACACATGTAATCGAGGGAAAGACAGAAGACGAAGCAAGTGAAAACAAGATCGAGGACAACAACTTCAATTGGCGTCGGGTAAACACCGAAGGGAATATTGTTAATGTCACGATCCAAAATCTGTTAAAGGTCGTGATGGAGCCGGACACCACGTCAGGCAAGCCAACACTAAATAGTTAATTAAATTCTCCTTTTAATATTTTTGAAATCATAAATTTCCTTCAATTTAATTAGTAAAAAATGAACTTTACAGAATACTAATAATGTTTTCCAATTTCAACACTGAATAGCCCATAATAATCCCAGAACCCGGTGTCACAAGTGCATGAGCATTAACAAGGAATTAAAATACAATACAATAACTATCCGGAATACAATTTGAACAGAAGATAAAAATGCAAGTACTCCGAAGGAGAATCTGCTGGCTTGCGGATCGTCTCATAAGATGCAGCTCATCTAAGTCTCTGTATCAACCATCCCGTTGCGCCCACAAGGCCACTAGACATATGTGTGCCTGTACAACAAAATATACAACAAGTGTAGTTTGAATACGATAACAACGCGTACCCGGTAAGTATCCAGTCTAATCTCGAAGAAGCAGTGACGAGAGGTCGACTCCGACACTTACTATGGCCAACAATAATATACTGATAATATGATAAATTATGAATTTTTATAAGGCGACAGTAAACTCAGTAACATGAAGCAGGTAATCAATTCTTTTGTTAATAGGAGATTTTCAAATTTATTTTCATCTTTTAACAATTTATATCTCCCACGAATGAGGCCACATCAATTATCAAAATTTCAAAACAATCACTCAAGTCTTGCGAAAATCATACCGAGGTCGTACGATCCGATCCAACATAATAATTAAACTATGCATTGTCGAGGGTCGAACGACGCAAACCATAGATGCATCTATTTATCCCGCTTGTGAATCATACATGCGACATGGTCAAATATAAATTTAAGAAAATACCCCGCTGGCGGATCATATGTGCGGCGCGTTAAATATAAATTTAAAGAATTAACCCACTCGCGGATCATACGTCCGACGCGGTTAAACATAGATTTCTTAAGTTATTATAGTATCCCTCAATTCTTTTCAAAATACGAAGTTCAAATGAAAACTTTCAAGTTCCCAATTTTTACCTCAATTTCAGTTCCTTTCAAACATTTAGTAAGCTAACTCAATCTCGCTTATTCTCGAGACAAACAATAAACATAAATTAAAAACAATATCAACAAGGCATGATGTATGCCTAAAATTACCTGGATATAGGCATAGCTAGTAGCTATATACAGACTCTCGTCACCTCGTGCGGACGTAGCCCCCACAAATAGAAGCACAAAATAATTTAGTTCACCTATGGGGTTAATTTCCTCCTACAAGGTTAGAAAGAAGACTTACCTCGCTCTGAAGCTCCATAACCAGCTCTCAAACCCTTCCGACGACTCAAACCGATGCCCAATGCTCTAAAACTAGCCAATAAATGTGCAAACCCATAAAGACATACTCTAATACTCATTATAATCAAATTTATAATAATTTTTAACCCGGATCAAAAAGTCGATAAAAATCACCCTCGAGCCCATGTCCTAGGATTCCAAAAAGTTTTAAAAATAAACTTTACCGATAACCTCAAGAACTCAAAGATATAACTTATTTTCAATTCCATGTCCAATATCGTGGTCAAAATTCAAAAATACCAAATTCTAGGTCTTTCTACAAAATCCCAGATTTCTATTAATTTTCATGTTTAAATTCTTATACGAATCATGTATTTAACTTATATTGAGTGGGAATCATTTACCTTATGTTGCTTGAAGAATATCTCCCCTTGAAGCTCTCTAAAATCGCCCAAATCAAATGAAAATGGGAGAAAAAATGGGCCAAGTCCCATTTTTGTAAACCCTCACTACCCAGCGACCATTCCGCATCTGCGGTACACCAGCCGCATTTGCGCTTCTACTTCTGCGGCCTCTTCTTCCGCATCTGCGAGCCATCTCCCGCACCTGCAGGCTCACATCTGCGGCCCTCCTCACGCAGGTGCGGTTACACCAGATGCCCAACTGTTTCAGTTCTTTCTCAACTTCAAATTTGAATCCATTAATCACCCGGAATCTACCTGAGGCCCCCTGGAGCCTGTCCAATCAAACCAACCAGTTCCAAAATATACTGCGGACCTGCTCGAGGCCTCAAATCACATCAAACAATGCTAAAACCATGAATCACACTCCAATTCTAGCTATATGAATGTCACGACCCTAAACCCAGGCCCGGTTGTGATGGTGCCTCTCGTGAAGACAAGGCCAGTCGACACACTCCCAATTCACTTTAAGCAATTAAAATAATACGAATTAAGTCTTTAACATAATAATAATCCCAAATTAAGGTGAATACTACAATATGCAGAATAGACATAGCCTGACATCAGAGTGTCACCCGTCATAAGCATCTACTATCCGAATAAAGACAGGAAAAATCTACAGAGTCTATTACAGAACTAAACAAGGAAAAATAATATAGGGGAAGAACCACTGGGCTACGAACGCCGAGCAGCTACCTAGTGAATCTCTGAAATATGCTGGAAGCTCTCAACCCTCGCAAGCAGGACCTGAAGAGTTGAATCTGCACACGGGGTGCATGGAGTAAAGTGAGTACTCCAACTCAGTGAGTAATAATAATAAATGAAGACTGAGCGATAAGAAATCATGTAAAAGCACATCAATGTACTATAAAGAAACAGTATGAAACCAGTAAAAGCAATGAAACAGTGAAAATATGTAAAAACACTTAGTTCAGAAAAAGCTTCTTTAAAACACTTTTGTAGCAGTTAAACAATTAAATGAGAAGCAGCTAGAACAGATAAACACATAAAAATCCGCCCCTCGGGCACAATGTCAACAGAATCCACCCCTCGAGTAATATCATGGAACAACACCAGCCCCTCGGTCTATATCTCATATCACAATGGGTACCCGCGCTCACTGGGGGTGTACAAACTCTGGTAGGGGCCCCTTATGGCCCAAGCGCAATGTCAATCCATCTCGCAGCATAATCAGTAGGCTCTCGGCCTCATATCAACAAGCCACCTCGTGGCGTACAATCTCAGCCCCTCGGCCTC